GTGAGTGAGACCACTCAGAACTAACCAATCACAAAGAGACTGATGGAACTTTAGAATGATTAGGGAAAGAAGGTATATATTCCCTAAGGCATGACTCTACTTTTGCTTCCTCACCCCTCCTTGGCCTAGTTGCACCTGCCTGGGAGTCTCACTTAATTTCTGTTCCTTTTCTCCTCAGTAAAGTTTTTCTTTCTCTAAACAAATTTGCCTCTTCTTGCTTGCTTACCTGAACATCAGCGAAGTTCCTGCTGAGGCTTCGTGAGTCACCAACCCGTGGTGGTCTAGTGGCTGGACTCAGCGCTGCCAGTGCAGCCTGGGATCTGTTCCTGGCTGGAAGACTAGGCCTGAAAACCTGAAATTACGGTATCAATAAGAACAACCGTTTATTTTTTTCTCCATTTATGAGAAAGCAGCCATTTTGTATAGCTGTATAGCCTGTTCCAGAACATGTACCTGCTCTCTGCTTGCAGGAACTGGGCCATGTGTCTACCTTTTTACTCCAAAGTGCTGGACCAGGATGAACTCTTGACTCAGGGGAGCAAAATACAACCAGAGGGCTGAGCCTGCCTGATATTACCCATGGAATGGAGGGAGGCATGTGTATGTGAAGGAGAGTATGTGAACACCTAGGGACATTTAGTAATATCTGGAGACATTTTAAAATTCATGTCCTGATGGAAGGATGTAAGAACTGCTTTATTTGGACCCGCTTAAGTTCCTCTGAGACAGATGGTTTTTATCTGGATCCTATTTCCTTGTCTCATCCATCTGTCAAACTTCCACTCATCCTTCAAGAGGAGTGGAATGATCCTGACCCAAGTCTCCTGGCATTTTGTCTTATTTACTTAGCTCACCACATATAGTATTTTGAAAATACTTCTCTTTCCTCAAAGACTGTGACTAACTTACTTTCATTTCTATTGTAGTAGCAGTTTGGTAAACGATAACTTAATCTATTGTAAGTATCTCTTTGATTCTGTTTCCCATGTTTTACATGATCTACTGACTTAACAGAGAACTGGCGGATGGACTGGACAGTTGATTTTGCTCTAATATGAATTTACCAAATGGTTTGAGGAGATTAACATACAGGAGAGTGTTGATGTAAAGAAGGCAGGTACAACTGATAATTGTTTGCACGCGGTAACCTCAACTGGCTTATTCACTTTTTCAGTGAAGGTTGAGGTAAAGCCTTTAAGTCCTGCAGCTGTTGAAACAGTGAGACATGCATTCTAAAATTTGAACTTGGTTAAATATTAAATTTAAAAAAAAAACTTCCCACCTGCTCTGACCCCCTTAAATATCGAGTTCATTACTTTGAACATATTCTGTAAGGATGGTTGCCTTGGTCAGGACGGCAGAGGCACTTGGAGGCCACAGAAGCAATCACCTACTTAACATGCACTAGTCAGCCTTTGTGAAATATCGTCCCTGATGCTGGGAGCTTATCTTTTATGGAACAGCTTGCAAATCCTAATTGTTTTAAACTGACTCTGAGGAAAAGAGACTTGAGAATCAATAAATTACCGCTCTCATACATACCGATGTGCATCATAATGTAGGAGATCTGATGGCTGTTAGGTCAAATCACAAAAAAGGCAGACTTGAGTTTGTGAAGACTCAGTGCCTGCCCAGTTGTCAGAGGGCAGTATGTGGTTTTATTTTGGCCTCAGTGTTCAGGTTTGCATATAGGCATTTGTTTTTGATAGATAGATCCTCAGTAGGAACGGATTGACGAGAGTTCATTACTTGGTCTGGTGGCTGTATGTCTTCTTTATAAGGTTCATTAAGGCAGAAGCAACAATATTTATGCCTTTAAATACTGATGTGTTGGAAACAGCTAAACCAACTATTCTAAGAATTTTACCATCTGGTTTCAGACCCACAGCTTTTTCTAAGACTCTAGAGACTTTCAGCCAAGGTCACTCATTTTAGTCCTTTCCAGAATCTTGGGGGAAAAGCTGAACATCCCAAAAAGAGACCGCGTAAATATTGCTTTCTCTGTACCAGTAGGTGGTAGTAAGCTTCAGACAATATTTACTGCTTTTTCTGCAGTTGAAGGGAATGTTTTTCTCACATTTAACTACAATAATGTAGTGTTCTAGTATTTATCATTGGGTTACAATGTGTGTTTTATAAAAAGACTATGAGGTTCATATACCTGTGATAAAAATATAAAGATATGACCTGGAGATACATAAAATTGTGCCTGTGGTTATCCCTGGGCAGATGGGATAGGAATAGGAGCAGGGTAGAGTGGGAGGGTATTAGTTTTTTTATAGCTTATAAATATTTTATTAAAATATACAAACATATCTCATAATGGAGAATAATAAGAATATTAACAATATAATTCTATAAAGTAAGAATAATAAGAATGATTGTAATAGAAAAAAGAATAATATTAATTCCAGATAGATGCACCTTTATTATATTAGTGTCTGAACTTTTTAAAACTTTTTCAAACTATTGAAAATAGCGATAAAACTTTCAGTTATTATTATTTGTAGTCAAGTTGAAACTTGAATTTTCTGCTCGTTAGAAGAGTCTCATATACCATGTGTTATCTGTTGAAGACAGCTGATAGGAAAACTTGTATATTCTTGGAAAAATTAATCTGTCACCAAAGATGGTTATTTTGTTCCTCTTCTTACTGAATATCATTATAATAAGCACATTGGTTTTATTCTGTCTCATGGTTTCTTTAATATACTTTCCAGAGTTATGCTGCTAAAGTGAAAATTAGTATACTTTTTACCTATAGAATTTTGATGTGAAAGAGATAGCTCCCAGGCATAATTGATGTTTTCCATGGTACATGAGATGGAAGGAATAAGGACATAAAAATTCCTTTACTCTGAGGCCAGTGGTTTGATTTATTTTTGAGTAAATGTAGCATAGGTATATCATTTAGATTTTTTCATTTTGCCTAGTAAAGACTTCATATTACTATTTGATTTCCCCTGTTTCCTTCATGTCTTCGTGCTTAAATGAAATGAGAGGAGATTGAGGAGGCTGTAGACACGTACGTGTGAGCCATGATATTGCTGCTGCCTTTAGCGATTTTTCTGATTATTGATATTGTTCATGCTTAGTGTTTAAGGGACAGAGGAGCTGAATGGAATAAAGATACTATTGAAGACAGAAGTGCCTTACTGATCCCATGTCTGCATCTTGAGTTTTATGATCACTTATGAAGTGAATTTATGATCACTGTATGAAGTTTATATGTTACTTATCTCTTATCCTCAGCATCTATAAAATTAGGGGTTAAAGATGGATACTTTAATAAATTGTTATGAGAATTTAATTGGATTGTATTTTTAAGCATCCATAAAGTATTTTACATATGAGCAGGCTATCAGAAAATGTTGGTTCAAGAATTCCTGCTTTCAATAGTGGAAAATACTAGAAAGTACTTTTTACTTAGAGTAAAAAATTGTTGGTCATGTGGCGTAGATTTATGAGACACACAGAGAAGTAATATCCTAAGTTTAAAAGGTGAACTTTACCTAGGATTTTTTGATCTTTATTTTTGAGACTGAAGCAGCTGTGATCAGGAAAAGCAAAGTCAAACAACTGCTTCAGCTTTAATGTCCTGTTCATGTTTCCTGATAGAAGCAGGGAGGGGAGTTACATGGTGGTCACCTTTGTATTTATAGATAGGGGAAGTGAGGCAAAAACCAAAAAGATGGGTGTGGAATGATTTTGAAAGGCTTGTCTAGAGGAAAGGCATGAGTCTTTGACAGGGTACCCTTCACTCCTTAGCTCAGTTAGTATAAAGAAATTTGATGGTCCATGAATTTTTCTTTTTGATGCTACAAGAATAGACTATATTTCACTTTGGAAAGCTTAAACTCACAACAAAGGACCTTGCTTATCTCTTTTATTTAGTTTTACTTTACCTGCCATTTAAAAAACATGACTGTTTTCATTAAATGCTCTGGGATCTGTATATACAGATCTAGCAAACTCCTTCCACTTCCCTTTAGATGTATGGTCATGTGCTTCCCAGATGCATTCAGAGTAATGCCCCAAAAGTCTAGAATATTCTAGGTCATTAAAGAAAGATTTCATCATACCATGTATTTAATAAATTGGAAAAAATGTCCGTATAGATGTTAGGAAGATTAGACCAGTGTTAAAGATTAAGTTAATCCTTATATAAACCGAAAATGAAGTTATAGAATATCTGGCCTATTTTGGTGAATATGTTGATGATGTCACATTCCTGCATGTTATTTTAGAATTTGTACCTCTGTGATGGCATTTTTCTAATTCTGTACATTAAGGTGCATGAGTATGTTCACTATACATGAGTGGAATTCTTTTATTTAGTTATTCTGTGTGTTGGATTGGACTTTGTTTAAAGATGCAAGTGTTTGGGGCTTCCCTGGTGGCTCAGGGGCTAAAGACACAGCGTTATCAAGCTGTTGCCAGCTGCTGTGGCATGAGTTTGATCCCCGGCCAGGGAGCTGACCCGCATGGCTCAGCACACCTCTCCTGTCACGCCCACTGCTCCCCTCAGCATCAGTCTATCCACCTGTTCTGTCCCTACTTTGTCTCTGATGGACCCCCTCACTCCCTATACTTCTGGCTTACCCCCCAGTTCTTGTATGCATAAATAAATAAATCTTTAAAAAAAAATTCTCATCTACCTTACAGTGTCTTTGGGAGGATTGGGTGAGAATCTGTGTGTGGAAGTGCTTTCAATTAAGAGCATTGCACAAAATTAAGGGATTATTATTTTCTGGAGTTGTGAACGTGACTCATATCTGAGGATTTCTTAAAGCAAAAAAAAAAAAAAAAAAAAAAAACCAAAAAACGGAGAATTACATGGGGAAATGAGTTGTGTTTTTAAACTATGTGCATAGAAATTACAATATGCCAAAGGGCTGATGTAATAAAGACTTAAAAAGATAGAGAAGTAAATAGTTGAATGGGACTGTTACTTCCGTATACTTTACCATTTCATTAACCTGACTGGGCTATGTTTTTAGGACTTGTGTACATCAATGGCAGAATCCTCCAGTGATTCAGACAACTTCCGCTCTCGTGACCGACTGAATCGATGGACTGCCAGGTCAATATACAGGAACTCTCAAAATCGTCCTACGGTAGATGTCACCGAGAAGGTCAACGCTATAACGAGTACTTTACAGGTAAGTTGTAATGTTTGTGTTTAATGATTTTGTATAGTTAAAGTTGAGAAATAATTTTGATCAGTTCCATTAGTTTGTTTTTTTATTTTTTTTATTTTTTTATTTTTTTTTTTAAAATTTTTTTTTTTTATATAGAGGCATGCTTTATTTATTTATTTGTTTGTTTGTTTTGTTTATACATGCACTGGGTACAGTCAGAAGTGCGGGAGGGTGAGAGAATTCACCAGAGCCAGAGCGGGGAGCAGAGCAGGCAGAAGGACCGAAGTACACTGCTGAGGGGAGCAGCGGGCGGCAGGAGAGGTCTGCGCGCCATGTGGGACCCTCCTGTGGTGGCCGGGGAGCAGCCGGGGATCGAACCGGCGCTGCAGAGGCCGCGGGCAGCTTCGCAACCCAGCGCTCAACCGCTGCGCCACCGGGGAGGCCCATTAGTTTGTTTTTTTTTTTAATTGCTGCTGTAACAAATTGCCACAAAACTAATGCCTTAAAATAATGGAAATTAATTTTCTTGCAGTTTTGTAGGTGAGAATCTGACACTGGTCTCATTCCTCTAAAATTAGAATGTCAGTAAGGCTGCATTCTTTTCTGGGGCCCATAGGGGGATATCTGTTATTTTTCTTTTCCATCTTCTAGAGACTACCCACATTTCTTATCTTGTGGTCTCCTTCCTTCATCTTCAAAGCCTTCAAGTGTGGCTTGAGTTCTTTTCACATCCATCACTAACTTTTCTGTTTTTGTTTTCTGATGAAAGGAGCTAGGTGATTATTTACACTGGGTCCATCTAGCAAACCAGAATAATTTACCCATTTCAAGGTCTTTAATCTAATTCTTAAAATCGCTTTTACCATGTGAGGTAACATTTGCTTAGGTTCTGGGGATTAGGGCTAGGACATCTGAGGTGAATCTGGCATATTCATGTGGGAAGTATTTTTTGTTGTGATTAGAACTAAACTTGTTTCTAGCTAAAGGTTAAGATACTTTTTTTTCTTTTAATAAGTTCTGAGGTGAAATAATAGAAGTAACATTGATCTTAATTATTGTCTGCTCTTGTACACAATCTATTAGAGTTGTTCTTTTGGCATTCCTTTTTTATAAAGGGTGTCAACTAGGTGAGGTGTACAAATTGATAATTTATAGTTTTATTGTTGGCTTATTATGGAATCTTGGGTAAGGATTTAAATTATGTGCTTTAGATTTCAGTAAAATGCAGATGAATTTGAGTTTCTCTCTCAGAGGTGTTAAGATTTATTTGACTTTTATGAAGTACATGGATATCCAACTTAAAACTATGATATAAATTGTGCCAAATGGTTGACTTTTGTTTGACATACTGCTAAGATTAATTATTGTTTAGAACAATTAATAAAATCCATTTTCTTTTTTAAGGATACCAGTCGGAACCTGCGTCAAGTAGACCAGATGCTTGGACAGTATCGAGACTATAGTAACGGACAGGCGGGTGCTATAGAACAAGTGAGGATGTTTACCTTTATTTACATTTTCTCTTACCTACCTTTTTGAAAATGCAGTTGTTGAGGAGGGATGCGTGATAAAAGAGATAAACCACTGTGAACAGCTTTAGCTTTTAGACTACTTTACCAATTAGTGGTTTAGGTCAGCATGTCAGATGAATTGCTAATTAGCTTATCTACAACAGACTGTGCCCTATTGAATTTGAAAGCTTTAAGACAGAGTGAAGAATTCAGGATAAAATGAAACTCACTAAATTTGGGCTACAGATACCTGTTATGGGGAGTTAAGAATTTTAAGGATGGTTTGTTTTAAAGTAATACATGCTCATTAAATAAATAATAAAACGCTTATCTCATTAGCCTTCTCAGTCTCATTCCAAAGAAGGAAAAATTTTGAGATTTTCTTACACATCTTTCCAAACATTTTCTGTGGATATGGATATATAAAATTACATTTGGTTACTTCAAAAACTGGTATCATAAAATGTTATGCAAGTATTTTTCATTGAATAAGGTATGTTATATCATCTTCTATTTGACATAGTAGCTCTGCCACATTTTTTTGAACAGTTAATGTTCCATTTTAACTGTTGTAACTGTTGATACATGTGGTATAGCAGTGATTTACTATTGTGCACATATTTTTTGTGCATCATGTATTATTCTTGGAAGTAGAATTGCTGGCCTAATGAATATGTGCACTTAGAATTTTGCTAGATATTTCAAAATCGCCTTTTTAAAGATTTATCATTCTTCTTACATGGGGATGTAAGAAGAAAAAAAAATACCTCAGGATTCTGGAATAAAATGAATATTTTTAAGTTTTGCTAATTCTGTCTAGTCCCTTCTTCTGGAATTTGCTAACTCATCTTAAACTCTTGGAATGCCAATTAAATTTACTCCTTCATGTTTCCAATTATGAGTAAGTGCTTTAATAAGATCAGTATTATATTGTACCAGAATGGTTGTTTTATAAGTAACTGCTGTATTGAATTATCACCTAACTTCCAAGTTGTAATTGATGATTTATTATTTTCTTATTGGAAAGCAAAAATAGAGTCATCACTATTTGGTTTTAATTCAAAGCTGATTGCTTGGGCACAGGGAAACATCTTCTCTCATAAAGTTTTCTACAACTTTCATTTAGTAATGGACTTTTGTACCTATAACATTTTTATTACTTAGGTTATATTTGATAGATGGAACCACAGATTTTGTACATTTGGGTAATTCATGCTATGTTCTATATTTTAACTACTTTAATAAAGTGAGTTTATTCTTTGCTTTTTAATTTATCAATGAGAAATTAGAAACCTTATTAACTAGTACCAGAGAACAAACCTACTTTGTCATGTTGAATATAGTATGGTTATGGTGAAGATGGTTATGGTAGCAAATTCCTTTGAATTGAACAACTGGGAAATTAAATTATGTATTAGAGGTATAGCTAACCAGATAAACACTTCACACACAAAACCTATTCTACTATGATATTAAGCCTTGGTGGTGTGCCTAGAGTTTGGTAATAATGAACTCTGGGGGAGTGGTTTTATTCATATGAAGTAAATAAACTCAACCATTCTTTTATGTCCTTCTGAGTTGTAAGTAGACCTCATATAAAAACCTATATGAGGTTTGTAAAACCCCTCATATAAAAAATAAGACACAGGAGGGCAGGTATTTCTTTTTGCTTCAGGCTGTTCCATAGTCTAGTCTAGAGTTTCCTCCTTTATTTCCCCAAAATCTTTTTGTGTTGAAACAGTTGGCTCTAAGATTTTTTTCTCTTTTGTATACCAGAGGAGTTACATCATTCATTGTCTTATATTACACTGATTTGATAGGACAGTGAGTTTCACTTGTCACCTGTAAGTTATCTTGGGGAGTAGCTGCCATAATCTCTGGGAAGATACACAATACAGAAAGAATTTTTTTCTTACAATAAGTGATTCTGATGGGCTTCTCAGTGAAAACTGTCTTTTTAGCGTTTAAATATTTACTGGCTTGGGGCCTCCCTGGTGGCGCAAGGGGTTAAGTCTCAGCATTATCAAGCAATCCACAGCTAATACAGTGTGAATTCAATCCCCGGCCAGGGAGCTGACCCACATGGCACAGCAGACTTCTGTCTCGCCCACTGCTCCCCTCAGCAGTGTATTTCAGTAGATCTGCCTGTTCTGCTCCCCACTCTGTCTCTGGTGAATCCTCTCACCACCACCCCCACCTCTGGCCTATACCCCAGCTCTTGTATGCATAAATAAGTAAAATAAATGTTTAAAAAACATATTTACTGTTATGGAATATATCATACTTTTATGACTACTCTTCTTTGAAAAGTATATACTTTCTCTGTTGTTTCCTTGAATCTTTATAACCTCTAACCCTACATTTAATTATTTGTTAATGTGAAGTCTTTTCTGTGAGGGGTTGTGCAATGTTATAGAAAGTGATGGGATTTCGGGGTTTTGTAGGGGAAGCAGCACTTATCTTCTCATAGTCTCTGGGAATTTCTCTGAGAGTTTAGCAGTCCCAGGCACTTTTTTACATTGTTCATTTATGGATAATTCTCACAGTGATCCTATTGGGCATATGCTTTCATCTTCATTTACAGGTTTAAAAAAGTGGGGCACGGCATGGTCGCTAACTTACCTATGGTCTCACAGCTACTCAGAGCCATGGATAGGACGTTATTCCAGAACTGAGCATCACGATTCATTTATTTCGTTGAGTCACGGTTGCTCGCGTTTTCACTGTGCCATGAATTTATATTACTGAAAATTGGGACTTTGGATTCAAAGTTTGAAGGGTTGTATAATTTACACCGTTAAAGTAGGTTTTGGAGATTATCTTTCCTGACTGAAAACAGAAGCTCACTGTCACACAGATATTAGCATGACAGATGGTATAATGTCCACAATGAGAGTTAGGTGGAACAAACACAGAGACAGACGTGGGGAGAAGTCTGGTGCTGAGTTAGGACTGGCATTGATGGATTGTTAAAGTTGGCAGTGCTAGCTGCTACTTAGAACATGTGGTGGATCCTGCAAGTTGCCTACACCAGCATGAACTTGCCTCATTTTCCTATGTGACAACCATTAAAATATTTTTTACTGGCTTTTCTTGCATCCATTCCAGCAGTGAACCACATTTAGTCTGGTAGTATCACTTAGGGTCTTTGGGCTCCAAGAACTTTATGACCTTAAGAAAGTGTCATGCTGGATTATGTCTTACACTGTGAATTTTTGTGGGTAGTCTGAGTCTATCTGGGTCAAAGAGGACCCGTGGGGAACATTTTATTTTAAAGCTTACTGAGAAGATTGGGAACATACACTCCTGTGTTAAATAGTGCAATTGATTAACTTAGTGTTGAGAATATTTCTAGAACTCTGTGTTCCTATTATGTGTTCCTATTAATGTCTTTGTGTTACTGTTATAAAAATGCAATGCCCTCACAAAAGAATATTCAACACATAAAAATTTATACCTTAATGCTTTGGAAATTTGGACTGTCACCGATGACGCTCAAGTAGTTAATATTGGATGTTAAGGACAAATATACTTCTCTTGATTCAAATCAGCATATTCATTAAGTTCATTTTTAAGATAAAGATTGATTAAAATACAGTAATATCAAATTAGAGCTTAGAGGCTTGCATTAATAGGTAATTTTTATTTTCTAATTAAGTACTCTGAGTAAAATTTCCCTTTGGGAATAATAGGGTGGTACCATCTGGCACATGAATTTTGGAAGACTTTGAATGTTAACTAAGAAAGTCTAGGTTTTTTTCTTTAATTCAATGGGTTTCAGTTGTCAGAAATATTTAGTGACACCCCAGAAGGGTAATACCAGTAGTTTAGAGCCAGGCATAGGCCACTTACAATATTCCAGTCTGAAGGTATCTGCCCCTTTCTCTCTGGCTGAACTTTGCTGATTGTCCTGAAGTTGAGAATTGCTCACAATCTTTTAATAAATTCAATGCTAAGTAGTAAGAGTTTATGGATAAGAAATTCCAACCATGCATAGGAATTTTCTTTTTGTAAATATTTTTCAAATTTTAGGAATTAAGTTTATAGAGTTGTATGTCTGAAATTTTATTACTTAATCTCCCATGAAACTGCTGGGCAGGACAGTATTTTTTTTTAAAGATTTATTTATTTATTTATACAAGAACTGGGGTACAGGCCATAGGTGCGGGAGGGTGAGAGGATTCAGCAGAGACAGAATGGGGAGCAGAACAGGCAGACGGACTGAAACACTACTGAACAGAGCAGCAGGTGAGACAGCAGCAGTCTGCCGCGCCATGTGGGTAAACCCTGGCCAGCTGGGGATTGAACCCACGCTGCAGAGGCTGCGGACAGCTTCACAGCGCTGCACTCAACCTGCTGCGCCACCAGGGAGGTGCAGGAGAGTATTTTTTAATAAAAATTTGCTTTGAAACTTGTGGAAAAATGTATTTTTGGGAGTTAGAATTGAAATTAAAATCTAATTTTTCCCTTAGACACCATCTTGGTGACTTTGGACAAGCTTAGTTTTTATCATCTGAAAAATCATATTATCACCCCTAACTATAACTGCCATTCATTGAAGTAGTCACACAGTTTTAGACACTGATAAACATTTATGTTCTTGTTATTTCTTTAACCCATCCAGTAATCTCTACCTTAAAGCATTTAAGTCAATATAATGTTTGGTATAGTATAAGCACTTAGTACGTGTTAGTTTTTTCTTGAATTCATTGGGCCTACTTTTAGTTTAATGTGTGACTATAAATATGTTGCAGCATTCATAGTGATGGGTACATCTCTTTTGACTCCAAAGTATGCTGAATCAGGTAACATATATATTACTCCCCTGCCTTATTTTCATGAGTATTACATGAGAAGTAGCTATGTTCACTGAAAATATAGTAATGTACTATTAAGAGCATGATGTTTTCCATTAGTGCTTGTTCAAAATATGTGAAACTATTTTAAAGATTGTTTTTTAAAGTTGTGATTAGAATACAT